TTCCAATTTTGGACTTCGGTTCTTTCAAATTCCCTTTCCTCTGATGAATTTCCCCACATTGCCCTAAGTAATTCCAGATCTTCACACGGTCGGCTGAATCCTTTCCCGCCGACATCCTTTGAGGAATTCATTCCGCGAGAGACTCAACTCTTTTCCGAGATTTTCAGGCTGGTGTCGATTTGAGAATCTCGGCTGCTTCATCCTTGCATCTGCAAGGCCCTTAAAGGGCAAAGGATATCTCTAGCCGCCATGAATCCACCTGAGACCTCGGGCGCAAAACTGCGCGAGTCCGCTCGGCTGAGCGAGCAAATGATCGCTCCCTCGGCTGACGGAAGGATGATCGCTCCCTCGGGTCGATGTTATTAGCTTCGCGATAGAGACTCGAATTACGAGATTCCCTGACCTTTTATCTCCCGACTCCGTTGCCTCTCTTCTCCCTTTTTTTTGCTAAGAAATCTCATAAATTTAATAAATCTCCATCATTTCGTGATTTCACGGAAAATTTAGATGGTTTGCTCGCGATCGGTGGGAAAGTGTCGACTAAGTCGACCCGAGAATCCTCTGTTCCGTCAAAGGTACTTGATAAGTTATATATTTAATATGGTAATATAATATATTGCCTTGCCGTTACAAAGTATCGATAGTTGATAAAAAAAATTGTCCTTTTGGTAAGGTCCGTATGGGTCGATACGGAATCAATAACCGGTAAAAAAAAAAAAAAAACTTTCTACGCAGAGTGTTTTCTGTTTATTCTGATCGACACAACTACAACATAAAAATGAGTTCGAAAGTACTGATTCTAGCGAAGTGCATAGCATGTCTTTCAGCACGACTTAGCGAGTTCGAAAGCTTCAGCTCGTTGAGATATGAAAAAGAGTCCTTTGTCCTTTTGTCTTTCCTTTCCTCAGGAAAGGACAAACAAAAGTGTTCTCACCCTCGATGAGCCCGCATTCCGATTTCGTCTTTGCTGTTTCTAAGAGTTTCTCCCGGCTCCAGTCAGCAAGGAACAAAATCCGGTTCCAGCCAGACCCACCCAAGGCCGGCTGCACTGGAGGAGAAATAAGATTTAGCAGCCTGGCGGCAGCAGCAGAGAAGTCTGGAATATTTCACCTCCCTCCCCCTTCGATGGAGGTGTTCATCCTCCTTCGAGGGAGGTGCTCATCTCCCTTCGATGGAGGTGGAGGACAAGAGGATCACGAGAAGCCGGCGGATTCAGAGAACGGGCTTCGTCGTTTCCTTCTTTCGAGATGCGAAAGGCTTCGTTCCCCTTCGTGGGAGTTCCTTTCGAGGTTCTCGGGGAAGCCCCGGGATGAAAAGGCGGGAGGGCTTCCGACGGTGCGAACGATCGCGAATGAGCTCATGCTGAGCCGAATTCCAGACTGATCGAGGATATGCTCCTTGGCCGGAATTAATTGCTATCATCGCCGTTGATTTCGATGGATTTAAAAATTGAGACCGAGACTTCCCGCCGCTCGATGAAGTGAACGAAATCAACCCTAATTAGGATCGAGTGCGAACGAGGTCACGACTCGGAATTTTTGTGACCTGGCATTTTTCACTCGCAATTTGTCGAACGACTTCTTGCCTCGAGAGTTCGAGCTCTCGCGAACGTGCCCGCGGTATCCGCGGAGAAATCGCGGGACTTATTCACCGCGAACAGGAGAAATCAAGGAAACGACGACTCGACCGACATCCACCTTCGACCACTCTTTTACATTCCGGGGCAACCTCCCTTCGAATGGCGACTGGAGCAACCTAGCAACCTCCCTTTCATACTATGCACGTGCGAAATTACAGCAGAGAATCGGGCGATTGGAATTACTCGGAGCCTCGACCTCGAATTCATTCAGCAGGCGTCGCACGACGGGATCTCGCATCGATCCGTCTACGTGTTTTGGCTCGGGAAACACATTAATTATCCTCGTTCGGGCCTTATTTTCCTTGCGATGCCTCTCGCATGAATATTATTTCCATCTGGTTTCGTTCCCAAATTACCGGGCGCTGAGTTAATCAGGCGGGGAAATACGGGATGTTCCCGTTGGTCAAAATTGCAAGGAAATTTATCTCGTGGCTTCTTATTCGGATTTTCTCGGCTTTGCAGATTCATCTTTCGAAAGGAAAAATCGCTGCACAATCCTCGATTTTAACTTCCCTCTCCAGTTATTGCAAAACGCACCATCAAATAAAATAAAAACAGCCTTCATGGCATCACAGGAGAAACTTTCTGAGCAGTTCGGGAAAAAAAAGTTTATACATTTTCTATTTGCACTTCGTCGCTTATTTTTTATCCTGACTCTTGAAACGTTTAGGAAACATTTTTTGCGAACCTTGTTCGCAAAAAAAAAGTGCGCATGTTAGCAAAATGTTTCCCAAGCCCGTGAAGGACAAAAGCAATTGTGACCTTCGTGCCAGAAGTCGTAAAGGAGCATTGACCTTGGCCCTCGGGGACAGCCCAGAAAAAAAAAGCTCTCAGCGCCCTCGCCAGTCTTCTCGCGTGGGTCTCGGAGGAAGACGATTGAGTTCCTCGAAACGTTTCTCTGAAGATGCAAGCCAGCCCTGGAAATTCCAAGGAATTCCGGAGGATCCGTTCCATGAGCTACGTGACCTTGCCTCTCTGCTTCGAGGACGCTGAAATGCCTCATTGGATGTTAGGCGTGTCTGGCCTCCCAGGAGGGCAGACACCCTTGCATTCCCATGTGAGTCCCATGTGAGTCCCACGTGAGTCCCATGTGAAGGGATGTTGCAAGGGATATTCTCAGCTCTTGGAGTGAACCTGTGCACTCCGGAAAGGCACTGCTTCTTAATCTCTCCCAGGGGAAGGAGCAGTAGGGGGGCGACCGGACGCATTCTCAACTCTCCAATAAGCACAATGATGTAGATGTATCAATAAGTTCATGTGTTTTTTTCCTCCTATACCTATTGTGAAAAGTCGGTTAACGGTTGGGGCATGGGCCAACAAGGACATGCCCGACCATAAGCCGGTTTGAACCAACCGTAAGCCAATCGTAACCCAGTGGTGGCCCAACTAAGGCTTATATACGCAGCGACGAAAAGACATCGATGGCCCGATGAAATTTTTTTGACCAGGTTGAGGGCTTCTTCGATACCGAATTATTTTCTGGACATTTTTCTGGGGTAAATTTTGCCACGAAAATTTGGAAAATTCATTATGCAAATCCGAGTCGACTGCCTGAACATGCATTCAACTCGACCTTAAAGAATGCGCGCTCGATTCGACCTCTAGGCGATCGATTCAACTTACAGGCGCTCGATTCGACCTCTAGGCGCTCGATTCAACTTACAGGCGTTCGATTCGACCTTCAGGCGTTGGAGTTTCCGTTGTCTTGCCCCGACTCCCGCTTTCCAATGCCTCGGGGATGAAATCATCCGGTGAAAATTCGTTGGATTTTCCCATTTCACATTTTTTTTAGAAGAAAATCCTGTGCGTTTTGGGGACTGGAAGGACACACCCGACACATAATGTCGCTTGACGAATTCTGCGTGATGATGATCACGGTGCTTTTCCCTCGAAGAGGACGATTTTTCACATGACCATGAACATCCCACGCCCAAGTCAATCGAAAAATCGTCTGACCTGAATGAAGAACGCTGAACGTCCTTGCCTCTGCTGTCGTTTTCGCGAGACGCTGCTCCGAGTTTGTGCGCCGAACTTCGGTCGCGCGTTTTTCCAAACAATGCAAAATTATCGAAGAGATTCCACACACGGCACGTTGTGAACGCTGGAGATACTGCTGAATGACTGGGAGTGACGGGCGAGAGCGAGCGGCATGGCGGCTGTCGCAGGGTGACGTCACAGCATGACGTCAGGGGGGAGGTGGAGGATGAAGACCTTTTCCTTGAGTAGTGTTGCCGGATTAGGTTTTTGAAATGAAATTGTAAGCATCACAAAGAAGAAGGAAATGGAGAGGAATAAAAAGGGACTGGGGACAATGATGAAGGTGAGGCAGAAGGAGCGTAAATGGACAGGCCGCAGAGTTCGAACTCGCTGAAGAAGCAATAAACTGACCGCAGAATTGTCCCGAAGAGAAGCAACCTGACGGATAACTGATGGAAGTCGGGGAGGTCTTCATCCAGCTTAAATTCGGAAATGGCTTCTGGCGAATTTTGACCGCTTCAGGGGATCGATATGCATTCAAAAAGTAAGGGATTTTTTTCTGATTCGAATTGTTGTTATTTCTGACCAACTCTGATTTGAATCTCTCCAGATCTTGTGGTACCCCTTGGCAACCCTGGCATGCTCTCTCGATTGCAGCTTCCAGCTTTACTGCTTCTCAAGCGTTGGGTCCTGCTACTCCATTTCCTGTATGGCGTTTTTTCTAAGCCCTTAAGAATATATCTTCTCGCTGGTTGGCATGCTCGGTAGCCCTATCTGGCAACCCTGTGATCACGTGACGTATACAGAGGCGGGAATATGACGTCATCCACGGGTGTGGTAGTGGTGACACACTAAAGGTCGTCACATTGTTTTTCGCTTGCGGCGAATAATTTTCTATTAACCCAGACGTAAGATGTGCCTCGTGCATGAGTGCCCGAGTTAAATGAAAAGCACAAGTATATATATATAATTTTAATTTTTTTTTTTTTTCTGGAGCCGAATACTTTTTCAGATGGTTGACATCCATCAGTGGAAGCCAAGCATGGGTGTCGAACTCGAGATGAGGAAAACTTGCATGCATGTGGCTGCATGTACTCTTACCATAAGCCCACATGGGCACACTGTTGTAGGATAGGATATATTGCTTTAATCTGTCAAAGGATGGGGCTATGCTCGGAGTCGAGTTTTTTTTAAGAGATTTTTTTCCTCTCTTGACACCGGGAAGGCAGAACTAGCGTGGATTTCAGTAGCGATCTGAAAGTGGCGATTTGGGTTTCCTTAAGCCCCGGCTAATTTTGTGCTTTGATAGGCCTGACTAGGTTGGCCTAATCAGATGATTTGTGTCAAGCGAAAATGTTTCAAACTCGACCCATACATGCTGACAATGAAGTTTGTAATAGTGCTTGAACTATATTAACAAGTAATTTGTGCTCGAATATTGAATCCCAGTCAACTCCTGATTTGCATAGAGTCTTTGGACAGATCTGAAAGTATGACTGGCTCATTCTCAAGCTCTACAAGAACTTGCAGGATATCATTTCAATGTGCACAAATCCCAGTTTTACTCATGAAATGAATTTTCAACCTGAGAGATTTGAATTGGATTTCACAAATTAGTAAACCTTGCTTGAATAACTGCTGGGTATGTAGACCTCTGACTTAAATATGAATTTTCTTGAAAGAGTGATAAGAGACCAGTTCTGCATTTCATCTCCAACTGGCCTCAAAGCCTAAACTTCAGGAGGAATTAAAGGGCACCAGTAACCTGAACATCCATGATGCAATCGGGCAATTCAGAATGGAGCCTTGCTTCAAGGCACTATCCAAGAAAAGCTATCTTCATCATTCTCTGAATAAATTCAGAGCATCTTTCATATTGATACTGATTAGAGGAATGATTCACAATGTTCTTTCTGAAATGACAGCAAAGGCATGGATATCATCTAGATTTAGATTCTAACAGAAGCTTTAGATAGAAGATTTCGTGCTCTTTGAATGCCTGGTACCACTGCGAGAGTTACTGTTCTTGTAAAGCACCAGGTCATTGAGGAAATGTCCAGTTGGCATTCACACCTAGCACTATCATCGTGAGCATGCAGCCCACTTAGAATTTCAAATATCTCTTGGGGATGGCACAAATGCATGTCTATATTTCTCTAAACAGACAATAAGAGCCTGCTTTGACTTAGAGAAGATTGAGGTATTGCATGTGTAGCATGCCTTCTGTCTTTACCAAAGAGAACCAAAATAAACCTGTCCCATTTAGATTAGATGAGCATAATGCTATCAACAGATTATTGATGCACATGGGGAAGGAGTATAAAAACTGCTCAAGGGGTTCAGTATGAGCTAATCAGTGGCTAAGCTTGACCTTTTCCCTCACACAGGCTACTTTGAAAATGTTCCCTTTGCTTAGCAGAAATTGTGTCTTGGCAAGAAATTTTTAGAAACTCATATGTTCTCCCTTTGGAAGCTGGCCAACATTGGAGCCATATTTAAGTACTATCAGGGCATTACCTGAAACCTGTGAGACAGTTGCCTGTATATGCATATTTTTTAAGATCTAGGAGTACTCTATCTGCTGGCATATTAGTGATCATCTCAGTCTCTTGACAAATAGCCAGCATGAAAGTTATTTTGAGTTTAAGATGAAAGTTACTTATGCACGATTCAGCTTTGTTGCATTGTACCTGACTGGGTAAAAGGCTTCAACCAAGGTCATCAATTCGACTTCATGAGGGCATTCAGTGTCATCTTCCATAAATGGCTTTATAATAGTGATTCACTACTAAGTTTATTTGGGATAAGAGTCCTAGATGATAATAAAAAAGGTTCATTGGAGATGCTAGATGGCTTATCCCCACTATTGAGTTGATTTCAGTGCCAACCATAGCCAACTGTTAGCAGAGGAGGCCAAGTGTGATAGGATAGACAAGGGCTGGATGTTGAACCTAACATCAGGTCCTATACAGGGATTCTATGATGGATTCACACACCCTAATGGGAGTGCTGGTGCCACTGGTGTTTAGACTCAAGGGACATCTACTGAATTATGGCTTGTGTAATATGTTAGACCAAAGGAAATGATAGTTCTGCTGGCATCAGTTGATCCATAGAAAGCAATAGTTAGCATGAAAAGCATGAGTGAATTTATCACAGAATTGCTTTGGGCACTTCATGGACTTCTTCATGCTGGGACAGTCATGAATCCTGGATGGAATGGATGGCCTGGGCTTATGTTTCGGGTCAGGTGAAGGGCTGACTTGTCTGAGTCTGTTGCAGGTACAGTAACAGGTTTCACAGACGTGTGCTTGGTCATCAGTCTCTAAGGATGGGACTCAAGAACTCAAAGCATTGCCCAAGTTGCTTGAAAGTGGAAAATGAAGGTGCTCTCTCAGTGGCAGTGAGTATGCTTTATATATTTACAAGTGATTTTCAAACCTCAACTTCCCTTTCTTTGCTTTCAATCTTGCTTCATTTTCCATGGAGACGGTTCTGTGGATTCTAGTTTCTTGTGATGTTACTTCATAACATCTATTTTGTGTGAAACATTATATGATGGATGTGCCTTCCAGGATTCTGAACCAGAAACAGAGTTTTTCATAGTACCCAATGAGAAGCTCCAGCCTACACAATTCTTCAGATCTATGCGAGAGGTGCGTGCCAAGCAAGCTGCTGGAACTGAAGAAAAAGATGAAGGTGAGAAGAGCTTTCCAAAAGAGGGTTTTGCAGCCTTTGCTCTGGAAGGACAACTTTTATTTTTTTAAATGTCTAGATTGGAATCTGGTGCAATCTCTAATGATTTGTGGAATTCATTTCAATATCATGAACAGATGCTCCTGTTCGAGAAAATGCAGCCCCAGCCTTGAAAGCTCCTGTTAATGGGGATGGAGAGGAGCTTGTCGTGACTTTCCCCACATCCATGGATGAGATCAACTTGGGAAATGTGAGTGGCATGTTTTAGCTTGGCTCCATTGTTGCAGTTACTGGTTTCAAATAGTCTTTTTCATTTCACATAGGTAAAGGAGAATTCTGACAATGCAGAGGTAACAGCACCTGCCTCGGATCCCACAGCTGCATCTCATGGTGGACCTAAAAGTGACTCAAACAATGGTCTGCTCATAAGAGAATCAACATGTCAGTTGATGTCTGCTCCTGCTGAAGTTTTTACTAAGATGCCACCTCCAGGTACTAAGGTCACTCAATGAGTATTAAACCTTGCCATGGTGTATCAAGTTGATTGATTTTGCAACAAGGCATGATATACGTTATACCTCTCTGAGATACCTTTTCAAGTGTGGTTGCTCTCCAGTTGATTAATTTCCAATTGTTTTTCTTTCCAGAAACCCTAACTCATGGGTCTTACAACTATTCATTAAGACTCAATTACCTTGAGTTTTCTCTTTAAATTTTCTTTCAGTATGAGAGGCATTATCATGTGCAGTATTCAATGTTGACAAAGGGCGACTTGCTTCATCAGCACTTACATGCCAGGAAGTTTGGTAGGAGAGCAATGTAAACAGGTATCACATAAAGATTTAAATTGTAACATGCCCTGTCACTTAGCTTCTCAAATCACCAGAGTATGGCTAAGCTCAATGGTTATTGAGTGACCTTCATGAGACAACGACAAAAATACAAATTGCTTTATAAAATGAAAGAGTAAATTCTACTTGGCCAGCACAATCCCACTCATTGAAGCTATTACCTTTGGAAAGTACAATAGGTTGCTCATTCCAGGTGTGGACAATGAGGTTGCCATTGAAAAAACAGACCCTGAGATCCTGTCAAAGTTACCCAAAGTCTTCCAAGAGATGTACGAGGACAAAAAATGGCAGGACCGGAAAGAGGCCTTGGATATAATACAGCCTCTGGTGTCTAATCCAAAACTGGAAGCACACAATTATGGGGACCTTGTGAAGCAACTGATAAAGGTCAGTTCTTCTTAATTTTACTTTTAGAGTCTTGTTTTGTTTTAAAAATTCCCTAGTTCTCTCCCATGCATTCCAGGTAGTTAGAAGGGATGCAAATGTGGTGGTGGTTGCACAAGCAGTGCAATGCCTCACGGAACTTGCCAACGGCTTGAAGAGAAGCTTTCATCCTTATGCGACATTGTGCATCTCCATCTTCTTGGAGAAATTCAAGGAGAGGAAACCAAATGTTGTGATGGTGCTGCGTGAGGCAGTAGATACCATTTCTCGTACCGTAAGTGTCTGACCTTCGGCACTATTTGTTGCCAGTGCTACTCATAAAATATGTGTGCCTTTAGGCTTCCATGGAGTCTCTTCAAAAGGGGATCTTGATAGCGCTAGAAAGCAAGAATCCTGCAGTGAAAGCAGAGACAGCAGCATTTCTCACTCGAGCCTTCTCCAGCTGCCCACCGGCCTCTCTGACTCGGAAACTCCTCCGGGGCTATTGTGCCAGTCTCTTGAAGGCTCTCAATGACTCAGGTTTCTGCAAATGCTCAAGACTAGAGCTGCTAATTTGATAAGTCAATATATATTTGGTTAAAGAATTTAATATTTGGTTTTTGGCCTCAAAATTGGAATTTGGTTATTAGAAAGAGATAGTCTTGGTAAAGCTCTTGTCTGGGGAAGTCTAAATATAAAACCATCCTTCTGATCTGAAGGATCTGGACCAAGATATGATTTATGAATGTTTAAACATGAAGCTGGATTTATAAGAATATGAGAAGAAGGTACTTCCTGTGGCCCTTCTCCTTCAGTCTATGTATCATTGCATTTGAATGGGCTGGAGTCAATTATATCCCACTTGAACTGGTCACATGACCTTTGGCATGTAATGTCACTCCTCTTGTCCTTTTCCATACAAGTGTGCTATAATTTGCATTCTGCAATGCCCCACTTGTTCTGTTCAAGCAACTTTTTGGTGGTAATACTTTCGCTGCCATATGACATGCTATGGCAGGGAAAGTGTAAATTATGCCCTTTGGGTGCTGGATATTTTCATGGCACTTAATTTGCTGTAGTCCTTTCTGGTGACCCAACTTACCATCCTCAAGTATATATTAACTTTAGCAAATTACACTCTTTTGAATGATGTTATCTTATCAGATTCTGTTTTGAGGTCAAAACTGGGCAAACTACTTTTATTTTTAAGCTAAAAATCTTAAATATGATCAACCAAACCTTAATAAATGCCCTACTGTTTTTTCTATTGAATACACAATATTCCAAGATGTATTGCTCAATTTTTCTATAATTTTTGGAAGGATATGAAGTTTTACAAAACTTAAACTGATCAGATGATGTGGCTGGCAGACCTGGTGAAATAATTGATATAATTAATATGTAATTCGCTGTTCAAGTTACTGGCAGTTAATTAAATTCAACTTTGATTTAATTTGCAGCTTTACTTGGTATATTTTACTTACTATATATCCAGCGTCATATCCAATTGCTTGAGTGACCTATCTACCTCACTCTTATGAACAGATGCAACAGTTCGAGATAATGCAGCTCAGGCACTGGGAACTCTTTTGAAGGCAGGAGGAGAAAAGCTCATCACACCCTTCCTAGCAAATGTGGATGGTGTCAAGATGGTAAAAGTAAGTGGCATTTCTTTGCTGGGATGTTATTTAACGAATGTTAGGATTGATTCTTTCATTGAAGATTTTCGTCTGACCATTGTCTGATTGGGCACGCATGTCATTTCATTCTCTGTTGCAAAGGCAAAATCAGCAATGATGTGATATTAGGTACCAAGGTGTGACGTCTTCATGGGTCCTGTGCTTCATGATGAGTGTCTCATGAATGGATCTGTGGATGCAATATGTGTATGAAATGGGAATGAATTATGGTTTCAGTCACATTCTTAATATATACATTCCATGTGTGGCAAAAGGAATCCAATCTTTCATCTCCATATCTCTGCTCTTACTCAGGTGCTTTTTATGATACTTGCTCTGTGTATAGACTGGTGTTCTGAGTAATTTTCAAAATTTAATAAAAATTCATTGCGCCAATGCAAGGCTGAGCAGGCATAATTTTAAAGACACTTAGGAGCAAACTCTCTGCATTGAAGCCTATTCATTCATCAGTTATTATTGAAAAAAATTATCAACCACCTGCTATGAAATATCAACCCAAATGAATTTTCCTTGAAAACATGTTCCATGTGATCTCTGTGACATGCAGCCTGCTAAAGTATTTACTCCATATGACTATCAGCATAGTACTGTTGAATATTGAATAAGTGCTCTTGTCCTTCCCTTGGCCCAGTAGACATGAATATACTTTCAATTGTCTGCTTGGAACATACCAGCCTATGAATAGTGCAGTTCATGTCCCACCAAGAGAAGAAATTCTCAGTTAGAAGTTGCAGGCCCTTTCTTTTATTATGCCCTGTAGATCAAAGAGTATTATGAAAAGGCAGAGGTGAAAGTACCTTTGCCAAAGCCTGAGGCCAGATATTCTGCTGGAGAAACTGAAGCTCAACCCATTTCTGAAAATAATGCAAGTGGAGGTCCTATTGTCAGGAAGCAAACAGCTGCCGAGTCTTGGCTGATGTCTGCTCATGCTAAGGCTCCTCCAGGTGAACTACCAACTATAATTTGAGATGTTTTAGGATGAAGAAGTTTTATGCAGCTTTTCATTAATTTATGCAGAAATTAATGAAGAAAACTCAAATGCTCCATTTCTGTCCTTATTTCAGTTTCATCAAAAGCCTTTATTATTTAATAATAAGGGTTAGATTTTTATGATCTTGACTTTCAGGAGGTGCATGCGTCTGAATATAGTCTGTTATAGTCTGATTGCATACAGAAATTGGGATTCCCCTGTTGCTCGAGTGATATGGACTTATGATTGCCAGTATACATTACCCAGAGCAGAGCAAAATGCAAGTGATTGAGTAAATATAATATGTAAATGCCTGAGAAAAAATTTAATTCAGATACAACATATAAATATGCCCCAAAAAATTTTGCAATTTCCTTCTGACCTTGCCATCATACTCAGAATATATGGAAAACTTTCCATTTAGTAAGGAAGGCAAGAGCTCTGGTGCAGCCATTTTTGGGATGCAGGTTCAATGTTGCGAGATGAGGCAACACAATTTTATGTTGGAAATCAGAACTGAAAAAGTATTTTATTTTTGCTAAATTTATTTTGAGATTTTAGTGAAATTTGTTTTTAAATGCCTTTCTTGCAGTGAACTTTTTTCAAAGATAAACTGCAAATGTATCTTTTGATATACCTGTATATTTAATTACAAAATGCCTCAAATGTATTAAGGAATGCCTTTAAGATGCAACTATTTTGAATATTTCCCACCTCCATATATTACTTAAGAGGAATCACCATGATTGGAGCCATAGCTAGTGTAGTTTGATTTAGTGTAAGCCTGCTGTATGTACATTACCCTCTCTACCTTCTCAATTCTCCCAATAATCCTGGTCAATTTACCATGCCAACTGTTTTCCAATAATCGCATCAATTTTCCTATTGTCTCATGATGTTGATGATCTTCATTCTCTGAAGTACAATTTTATCCTCCATATTTAAGCTGCTTAATAGCATATGTCAGAGGCAAAGGGCAGAATGAAGCAATTGAAGTAAAGCTTCCAACTGACACCCATAAAATACTTATATCCATGTCAAAGTGGGAGTCACCTCCCATCTGATGGTGTTGAGTTGATTTGCTGCAGCCTCATTATTATTACTTTTTTCTCACTAGGGGCAACAGAAGCTATCAAAGGAAGTACTGCTGAAGAAGAAGTGTGCATGGAACCACTTGGCCCTCAGCTTATTGCAGGTTCTGAAGAGCAACTACCTTCTAAGAGTCAAGTTGAGAGAGGGAATGATGAAGAAAGTATTGAAATTGGGGGTGAACCCAAGAATGCCAGAACTTACCTGTCTTTGCTTCATGTGCACATCGATGTTGCAGGCATCTCTTTCCAATCCACAGCTAGTATTCCTCTGAGCCATATTGGAAGTGAATTGTATCCTGCTCCTGAGGGACCCGGCTGTCCTCACACTACACATATTGGTGTGGATGAAAATTATACTACTGAAACCAGGAGGTGAGTGGTACTGGAGAATATTCATACAATTGTAGCAGTTGAGTATTTTTAGCTTGTGATATTCTTTATGGCAAATCTATCCACAAGTGCCCAAGAAGAACCTCTGCCAACCTTAAATGGGTCTTCCCTGGGCCTGTCAAGTGGTGAAGAAATGCCAGAGAAAGACAAAGGAACCCAACTCATGCAGACAGAACTGGATGGAGAGAAGCCTTGCATTTTCCCACCCCTGCAGATGTGAGTCCCAAGCAAAGTATGTAGCAATGCAGGTAAACAGTTATCAGGGCCACACTGCATGACAGGATATCTTCTGGAAGTCCCTCGGAGCCGGCTCTGGGATCACGAACCGATACCACCTCGGCTTTGGTGTCGATCATGAGCCAGATCTCATCGCCACATCTCACCACCTGCCTTGAGGTAATAGCCCAGGTCATTGAGACTCTTAAGCAGATGCAGGAGCCCCTCACCGATCCCTTGTAAGTTGCAATTGTTCTTCATATTAGGTGAACCAAGAATGTAGTATCCTGTTGGTTATTCGTATTTCTCTCGTATCTTGCGTGAAAAAGGTTCAGTGAATTGGTGATTTTGATGAACCTAAAGATGAAACTTACTTATGATTCATTCTCATCATTGAACTCAAACAAAGAAGAAGCCATGATGATCTTCCACAACCTCATCTTCCTCTGTCTTGCTGTGAGTTTACCTCTACATGCTTGCCTGTTCACGTTGTCACATTTTGCACGTGCACCAGTCATTTCCCCTAAGCAGTTGTCAGAAAGGCAGGCATTTTTGGAGATCCCAAGGGACCCATTGAAGGAGCTATTGAGGTTGCATCTCATCATGTTAACCGACCCCAACCTCTCGGATCTCCCTCAGTACGACAAGTTCTCCGACGACCTCAACTGGGCACTGACTTCTGTGCTGTCAAATGCTGACCTCACCCAGATGATGTGGTGAGATGTGATCTCCATTGTTAAGGTGATTTTATTTGTGAATGGTGCCTTTAAGCTGGACAGTGCCCTTTTCAGTGCTTGCATCTCCCTGATCCGTGAAAGCATTGGGAATCGCCTTCATTTTGGAAGTATTGAGCCTCGGGAGTTTCTGAAACATTTGATGGTGTTGTGCTTGAGGGTCTGTAAGCAGCTTCCCTCCAAAATTCATATTCTGCAACTGAAGCCGTTATTTGATGAGATCCATGCCTTTTGCAAGGTGAGGCTTGCATACTACAGGTAGTATTAAAACTTCTTTAAGCACTTATGCAGGATTCCTGTTGTGCTTATTATTTTTGCCCTCACACATTGGAATCTCCCCATTATGTTCTGTCTGCCCCCCAGGGTCATTCGGTGGCTTCATTGAGCAGTGAGACTGCCGTCATGGGCTACGTACCCGAACAAACCGTTCGCACTGTCCTCTACTCCATCATCAAATTGAAGACCAAGGCAAGCCTACAGCTGATTCAGGAAAATCCTGAGTATCACGAATCGTGCCTCGCCACAGACACTTTGCGATATTGTAGCACCATTGTGAGTGCTTGCTTCCTTTTGCTTCTTCGATGTGTTGCAAATTAGGAACATGCTATGTCTCTGTCTCTGCAGATGAGGGAGAGAGAGGAGGGTGATGTGACAAATTCCAAGTTGCCCATTTTGGCACGTAAGAAGAATACCAAGAGCTTCTCGAAGATTGCGAACGGAGAAGAAACAAAAGATCTGGGCCAACTGCATCTCCACCACTTTGCTGCTTTCCCCCATTCTTCCTTGTACGCTTTAGAAGTGCTTAAAAAAAAACATTGTCAAAGTGCTGGAAAGGCTCGAGTTGTTCCTCTGTGGGATTTCCAGCGGATCCAAACACCAACAAGCCGATGGAAGCCAGAAAGACCAACCCAGGATGCTCTCCTCTTCCTTCGATGGATCCCACTCGAGTCTTGAAGCCCCACGCGAAATGGCATCTGGCAGGGGGCAAGGGGGAACGCGCCTCCTCCACCCCACCAATTCTGTTTCCATCCCCACGTAAGCTTTGTATCGGCTCAGGGGATTGCCATCGGAGTGCCAAAAAGTTACCAACGTTCCTCGATTCGGGTTTTCGATTTCCAGCCGATCCGGGAGTCGACGGCCGAACGGAACCGGGGCCCACGGACCTGGCTCGCACCCTGACGTTGCCGCTGTCGGCACCCGGGTGGGACTCGAGCCCATCGGGTTCAACGCCAACGACGGCCCCAGCCGTCGGGCCAAGACACGGACGGTATCGTCGGACGGCTCCTTCTCGGTCATCAGGAAGTATTCCCTGCGATCCTAATTGGTCTGTTCTTTCTCTGGGCTCCAAACCCATCGGCAATTTTTAGATTCCTACTCTACATATGCGAACGGATTCTACTCGATGTATGGAAGGCGTAAGACCCCTTTTTATGGTCATATGTTTCTGGACTCCATGATGTAACGTGAAGTGATAGTGATGTGATACAGAATCTCTCTGGACGTTCATATGTGCATGCCATAGGCCTAGAGCTGACCAAATCTTGTATTTTTCTACTAGTGTTCTTGCGATTGGAAAATAAATACCATATTTGTCTTGATGCGTATGGAATTGTCCAGGCATGAAAGGTGCATCGTGGAGTTCTGCAACCAGGACAGTCGTTGGTTGTGTCATTTCTTCTCGTTCTCATCGACTGTCGAAGTTCTGGAGAAGCATTTCTTAATGGCCATCATGATCATTTTCTCTAGCTTGCACCGTACCATGTGAAATCACAGAATCTCATATTTGCTCATCCCTGTCTATAAACTCCTTGACCGGTTGGGTTCTCGTTGGCTCCAGCTGTCTGAGGCGAGGCCAGTGCTCAAAGCAGCAGCCGTTTGGCCAGTTTGGTATCTGTTATCTGCAAAGAGTAACCGAGGTGTGATGCATTGCACGACCCCTAGGTCGACCTGTTTGCTGGCTGCGCCTTTGTTGTACTCGAAACAATTTAATTTTCATGGTAGAAACGATGCTAGGAAGGATGACATCATTTATATGGAGAAATCCGATTTCCTTTTCAAACCTAGTTCCCTGCTTTTCCTCATTTCAATTCCCATAAACCCACGTAAAATATGCCTAACCTTGATTTGCCACCGGCCATGTAATGGACCAGAGATTCCCCGCTCTGAAGATTTATTGCACAACATAGAAAACCATTAAAAACCTGCATAAAGTATTTATATTTAATAGAAACCATATCAACTCGTGGAATCCAGGAAAAAAAAAAATCTGACCCGAGCTTAGAGCTTTTTCGGGCAGTTCATGACCCCATAAAATTGCTCATATAATTCAGTATCCACATAATAATGAAAACCAAATTGAGAGAACGATTGAATATTGCGAGCTCCAAATTTCTGAAAACTAAAATCGATCGACTTCGCACTTTCCTCAAAAACCACTCGAGTCGCGCGTGCTCTCGTCCGGGTGGGCGAATGCGGGCGATGGAGTCCCCCCCCCCCCCCCCCCCCCCGAGACTTTCAAGTGTTTGTCGGGAATTGTTAGGATGGGGCGAGATGTCATTTCGTCGACAAAAACTCCTATGGGAGGAGAGGGGGGAGGGAGGACGGGGAGGAGGTGGGCGAGGAGAAGAGAGGAAATCCTTTGTGAGGGGGGCGTCGGAGAAAGGTTTCTTCTTCGAAAGCGGTGCTTCCTCGTAGGGGGGGGATTTGATTCCCTTCTTCGCTCGATGCGATTTACAGTTTATTTGCGATTAGATTGAAGTCGTTTCCTTCCTCTCTTGGCCCAATTAATGATGACTGAATTGGAAGTTGTCTCGAAAAAAGAACTTATTTGTATTCTTCAAATTTTAAATTTTTTTGCCTTTCCGCAAAAACTCTCGTCGAGAGCAAAAGTCCGACCACGGGAGATATTCCACATTTTTTCTGTTACTCAACTCCTTACAGCACCGATGAGGACGGCGCGAAAGGGTTGACATCTGGTGGGAGGTGAAAGAGCCGGAGATACAAGGATCAGTTCGCAGCTGACCCATCCGCGGCCTCGAGCGATCTTGAGTGCAAGGCACCGACATCCACGATCTCCCCCGTAAAATCCACCACCTATCTCAAGAACGCCGGAACCATTAGTACCGACTAGTGATACAGATGTCGCTCCGGTTGTGATGGCGGGGAAAGAGCGCGCATGCGTCCATCCCCACGCAGTTTACCGGCAGACTCCGACCGGGAAGGTTCCCAAGTGGAGGACAGCCCGGCGGAGCGGATCCACGAAATCGTCCAGGCCTGCGAAGAGGCGTCAGACGAACGGACGCTCCTGCGGTCCATTCACCAGGTGGAATGGGTTTTCTTCTGAAGGCTTCGACCTTCCCACTGGCCGTACCCAAGCTTCAAGTTCAGTTCATCAGTTCGCGAGGTGAGTGAGGGTTATAGTGAAATTCATGAATTCTATTGCTGTCGATGGGTCTCCTCGCGGTCTGCACGCTTGGCAAAAGTTTGCGCAGAATTTCGTATTTTTGCGAGTTGGCATCGTAAAGACATCGACGACCGCATGTCGAGGCATCTGATCCTCGATGCCAGTCTCTTCTTGGCTGAGTTTTTTTTTTCCTGTTTCGATAGTAAAAATCACGACCGTTCTGGCGAATTTTATTCTCAAAAGCGAGAAGTGCGAAGGAAGTGAGCGTAGGCTTTGGCGTAGAGGCAGAGGACGGCGAGGGCGAAGCCGGACCCGACGACCGTTCGAGTCGAGGGGGCTCGGGGCGAGTCGGCCAGGAATCGGGTGGCGGGGAGCAGATGGCCCCAGCGGTCTGCAAGGAGGTCGGGGTGCGCTTCCTCGGGATGAGGGTGTGCTTCCTCGGGGTGAGGATGCGCTTCCTCGGGGTGCAGGCGTTGCTCCTGCCATCGGCGGAACCGTCGTCTTCGCTCCGGTCCCGGCTCTAGGAAATCCAACAGCCCGTAGGGTTCGGAGGCGGTCGCTTGCGTGTCCGGTCCCGTGTCTGAGGGAGGTGCTTCTCGACTCTGTGGAGGTGCTTCTCGAGTCGGCGGCGACCCACCGGCGCCAGTCTCCTCCACGACCGAATGCAGCACCTCCTGCCCTCCCCAGGTCGAGGAAGGGTCTGCTTCGCTCTCGGACTCCATCCCGCTTTCAGGCTCCATCCCGCTTTCAGACTCCATCCCGCTCTTGGACTCCATCCCGCTTTCAGACTCTATTCCCGACTCCGTCATGCTCTCCGCTTCCGACGTGGCGGCGCTCTCCAGGGCGCTCCCCTGGCCGCTCTCCAAGGCGCTCCCGACCCCCGACTCCATGAAGCCCGTGGACTCCTTCGCGCCATCCCGAGTGGATCCTTCCGAATCGGCCATGTTCAAAATCCGGAATTTTAGCGAGACGGGAGAGATAGAATATCTAGAACAGAAGCGACGCTTCACAACTTTGAATATGGCACTCGCGACATCTTCTTTACAGAAAGTTTCCGTATTCCACTCGAGCCAAAGCTCGTAATCCCTTGCGGCTCGTTCGTCGAGAGCACGTGCAATCACCGCGACGATGATGCACTGCCCCCCTCCTGCCCCCCTTCTTGCCCCCCTGCTTGCCCCCTTTCTTGCCCCCTCCCCTTACCCATCCGAAATCGATCGACCAACCACCAGAATTTATTCGTCAACTCTGAGAATTTAAGGCGTCCTCGTGATGTCTTGTAACGGCCAACCGTTCTCGCAATGGCCATCACAACAACCGGAAGCCAACGACGCACTTCCGCAGGACGTAGGAGTAGACGACGGCAGCCAAGACGGCGAACGCGACGCCGACGCACGCCCGAAGGCTCACGCCTCCGAGGATCGTCACCTCTTCGAGGCCTTCCTCGAGGCCTTCCTCGAGGCCCTCGAAGTCCCCTCCCTGCTCGATCTCTTCCTCGTCCTCGACCGATTCCTGCTGGAATTGTAGCGATTCGTACCAGATCCGCGGACCGGGCTGCTCTGGTCCCTGCATTTCCCGCGGGACTTCGGCGACTTCCATGACGGGGATGTCACGGGTCGGCTCGACCGGGATGTCAGGGCCCCATCCAAGGTGGATGTCAGGGAGGGACTCGACGATTCCCAGTTCCTCAGGTTCCAGGGATTTTCCGGTTGCGTCCCCATTGAACTTCGCGTCCACTTCGGACCTCGCGTCCACTTCGGACCTCGCGTCCACTTCGGACCTCGCGTCCACCTCCTGAGGGACTCCGGGGAAGGTGGGAGACTCCTTCCGGTCTTCTTCCTCGTCCGTGGTGCAAGGCGAGAACGGGAGAGAGTTTTCTTGCAGGCAGTCGGAGGAGCCCTTGTCGTCGAATGGGACGGAGTTCCCGTTCGCGTCGAGTCCTTCCGGTTCGCGGTCGGACGCTTCCGACGCCGAGGCGTCCGAGTCTCGTTCGACGTCGTTTTCTTTCGCGTCCTGACGGTCGACGACCGATTCGAGGTCCGGTCGAGTCTCGGACGAGCCGCGTCCCTTCCCGTGGTCGTCGAAGGCCGCGGCGTCCTCGGACGCATGCGTCTCGTCCGGGACGCGACCGTCCTTGCGGTCGTCTCGGTCGCCGGCCCCGAACAGTTCCTCCAGAGTCTCGTCCACGATGGACTTGAACTCCGTGCCGTCGGCGTCCGAACGTGATTTCGAGTCGCCTGCACCGAGCTCTGCACCGGCACCGACCGCTGCACCTCCCCCGAACTCTGCACCTGCACTTCTGCCGGGTTCTTCCATTGCGACTCCGGCGTCTCCCTTCCGGCTCGAACGAGGGGTCAGAAGCCTTTGCATGGGTCGCCTTGTCGTCTCATTGTTGACCGCTCGGAAGTCTTGCTCGGGTCCGTCCAGGCGATAGACGCAGCCTTCCAATTTTTTTTTCTTCATCCTACGAGAAACGGGAAACGTCTTCCGTGTCGTATCTCCTCTTCTCTACGATCGGGACGAGAACGGCATCGTGGAGCGACGGTTCTGCCCCGGCAGAAAAGTTCAGAAGGGCGAAGCCCTCGCCACGAGGCCCCACCCTCTCCCCGCCGAGGTTCCCGCCCTCNCTAACAGACTGAAGAATTAGTTTGGGCGAATTTTAAAAGTAGTTATGTCGAAGAGTATATGCAATTGTCGAAATGTTTAGACCTGTTTCTTAATCCGGTTCTCACAGGAATTCGGGATACGTTGATATTTTGAAAGTCATATGTATGCCATTTCAAACAAATATGATGCTTGAGCAACTTAAGCGTATATTTCCCAACAGCAGCATGGATACAGGAACCATTTCTTCAAAGTTATTATATATGTTCCTTCCAGAATGCTTGTGGAAAGTGCTAGTCCCTCCATTTGCGGTTTGCAGGCAGTGTTGTCAACTTTGTTATGCCAGCCAATATGGGGTAATATGGACCTATCCTTGACTTCATGGTAACACCGCACTAACCCATTGGCAGTATCAGCTCCCTTTCAAGTAGGACCTCAGGCAGCAAATAGCATCCTATGCACATCCTATGGATATTTGGATAGACGTACTGGACATCCGGACGAAATATGCAGTGCATGAGGAGGCGGTGCATGAGAAGGTGGTGCATGAGGAGGCAGTGCATGAGGATATCCACATGCACCGCCTCATGGACATCCGCTTGACTTACTCCAGAAATTTTCGTGGCACAAAATTTGAATGCAGGTAGATATTCCTCGTACAAAAAAAGTTAAAATGTCATCTTGCGATTTTTGGCACTATTTATGCATACATGCAAAAATATGCGACATTTTTCCAGTGATGTAAGTTCTCTTAGTTCACATTCGTAGGGCATGTTCACTTTGATCTATGGTTGATCATAACTCTTACACCTACAATTATATTTTGGAAACTTTGTGAAGGTCAAATTCGACCTTGATGGTTTGTTAAGACCAGGTTTCATTTTTTTAGGACCATATTCCTTCAAATTGGTGGCCCTGCACATTATTTTTCAATTTTCTGTTGCCTCGAGGTACATTTGCAGATGAACCTGTTTTCTTTAAGCCCCTCAATAGGTGTGTCTTTCCATATGAGGCAGACTTTGATCTGCGAGGGGTGATCAAAGAGGTATACAGCTAAAAATAAAGTTGTCGGGTAGCATCTGATGCCAGGCCTTTTTCTCTCATCCACATTGGTTCTCCAAGAGCATTTGAACTTCTGACTTATAATTTTTTTCATCCAGCCAAGCTCCGTCAAATGGGTATATGAATAGACCTTTTCTACTGGCCAGTTTCTCAATGGAATTCAAAGATGAGGCGATGATCTCGTTTCTATACTTTCTCTCACTGAAAACTTGGACACCAATCAAAGGAGATCCCTCAGGATTTGGTCACTGTTCATCATATTTCCTCCTTGATATGGTTGCGAGCTGCATAAGAAATTACATAGTTTGAAAAATTGATGGCTGTTATGCCATCATTTTCTATGATTCTAGTACTACTTGGAGAATTTTATATAATGAGCTTTGCATCAGTTGCGAAGACATTCAGAGGTTGAAGAATTTCAGATGTGCGAGAAGATTCTCTCATCTCCCGACAGTAAAAAAAAAAGAGGGAAAAGTGTTGATGGCCTAAAGAGACGTCAAAGGAGACACATTTTAGATATTCTTCTTCACCGTGAAAAATATATATGATAAAAGTCCAACATGATCTGGCTTTCAAAAGATGATCTTCGACCTCAAGTTTTGAAATCTTGTTTTCTAAGTCAGATGTCCACCTTCGATTCTCAACATTCACTGTTAAAATCATCCAAAAGTCTAGAATCATCACAGCTACATTCCATAATCAATTTTGGCGAAGGTCTTCAGAGAACTTGAGATAACGGGACCAAAAACGAGAACATGACAGATGCTGCTTCACCATGGCAATACTGACCCTCTCAAGGAAGAGCCGAGGACTTCCTACCCTCACCCAACTCTCCTGATTTGGCTAATTACGACTACTGGCTCTTAGCTTAAGTCCAGAATCGCTGAAGACTATTTATAGGGATAGATTAACTAGCAAAGGCTGAATGAGCAGAGCTGTGTAGTATTCCTGCTCTGGACAAGCATGACGCCTTTCGAAGCGTAGTGCCTTTGTAGTGCCTTCCTCTTTCACTGAGAAGATATTATCAAACAGCACCAAGATTAATAATTTATTTATGGCTTTTAGGAATTCCATAATGAGTGCAAAAGTTTTCTCGACTCGCTTTTCTGCCAAATCTATCATTTCTGTAATTCGTACATTTTTTTAATTCGATTATACTAATAATAATATGCATAGTCTCGTAATTGAAATAAGTCATAAAACAAGTTCGTACGAACAGGACAGGTACGGCGGCAAGTAAATTTCCCAGTGGTTATAAGATGCATGCAGATATATAGAACATGAAATGACATTATCTTTTTATGGAAGTTTTTTAAGCGCCTCCCAGCCAGAATGAATTCTGGATGCAGAATCCCTAGTATGAGATAAAATATTTATGCTCTCGGGTAAAGGGTTTGAGAGGGAAGCGGTAGAAATTAAAGCAGAAGCCTTACTGTTTCCATATGAGTTTTTTGGTCATTCCAAGCTGTTGAACCCAGAAAAAGATTGTACCCCAAGCCCATCTCTATGCATTCATGCAGCACAGCGGCGAGACCACTTTTAAATGATTTATGCATTATAGTCATAGGGAGGATATGGGTTTCATGTACATAGACCACTTTTCCTTTCTGAACCCGGAAAAACGACTTTTTCGCAGACTTCAGACCACTTTGCCTTTCAGCCCTTCAAATGTTCAATAGGCATTTTCAATTTTGCGTTGGTCGTATTCTTCATGGTCCCGCGCCCATTCCGATGCTGCGATCGAGTTTCATTGCGAAATTTCTTCAAGATCTGCAAGATCGAATTCAGCAATGGAGCTCTCGGCGAGCTCAGATTCTCTCGGTTCGAACGCGTCCCGTTAGCAACACTACCCAAGCAGTATGTTTACGTAAATATACGATATGATAAATCGTATAAAATATAGCAGGTACATTCCTCATTTACATCGCCAAAAGGGGATCTGTATTTCATTCCAACTAGGCGTGACTTCACTCGATTCGAAATGAAGTTTGTGCGAAATCAACAGCACAACATCCATCTGAAACTTTAGCTGATTCTACACTGTCTCTAGTACCAAGAGCCCTTACTAGATGGAACCCATGTTCCCTGTACCGAACAGATGCAATTAAGTACCGACTTTCCTGAAATGGCATTGGGTCTTTCCCCAATCTTTCCTCTTTTCACTGTGCGATTTATGAACATGTATGAGGAAGACATTGAATTATGATATTATTATCACAATATTTGACTCAGGGAATTATTAAATGTCGAAGTTACGTATAGAAATGAAGGAGTGTACAGAAACGAGAAAGGACGAAATGCCTTCCCCTTTTAAGCAAATAGCACCTTTAAATCCACGCTGACGTTTCCAGGGTTCCGAACTGGCTGGAGCAGGTACTCTTGGGTACTTGAAGAGTACATGTGCGACCCGTTTTTCTTAACAGCTTAACAACTTTTTTTTTAAATAAAAATTAGCATGGATTTTGACAACAAATTAACATTTTACGGAATACGACCGGCGGATGTCTGTATGACCGGATTTCGTCCGGTGAACTCCTAGGTCTCTCAACCGATTTTCGCCGTCGATATCTCATTTGATTTGTGAATTCCGGCAGGTGGTCCAACTCATTTTAGCTTTTCTTTTGGTGTTGACCAGGATGACCTTTCGTATTAATTTTGGACGCAATTTCATACCTGACCATTCGAAGGCCCTCGAAATCCTTTGTCATAATTTCATTTCACGTTGTAAAAATGTCGACATCGGATCCTACTGCGGTCAATCTGAGATTAAAATGCGCCGTCTCTGTACGGATTAAATAATTACGCCTTGGTCTAGACCTATTTCAGGGATCCGTTGTTGGCATGGGGGATTTTTCGTGTTTCCGCCCATCAGACGACCAGCGCTACGGCAGCGGTAGTTGATGCAAATATACTGCTTGTGGTGCAAACGGCAATGTCAATTTCGTGTAAAATTCTCGTCCATTTTACGCCACCGTTTGCGTATCACAGAGGTGACGTTTCTGCAAAAATTTCGACAATATCATGATGAAGGTTTGCGTGAAATAGATATACTAATAAAATGGACAAAAAATTGACACGAAATTTATATCATCCTGATATAAACATGCTGCTTGGGTAGGTAGGAACACTGACTGCAAAACCGTTCACAGGCTCTGGATTCTCCTGGAAATTTCCGGGTTTCAGCCTCGACGTTTGGACTCTGCGACACCTTTTATTCTAAAATGCATTCACGACTCACAAAGTGACTCAATGGCTTCCGCCTGACGACCCCCCCTGATCCACGTAACTCCTCCCTGGTCCACCGGGCTCCTCACCCGGCTGGACTCACCCGACCTCCTCGCCTCGACCTCCACGGTGACGCTGGGGGTGCGCATGGACGTGGATCCTCCTCGCGACACGCAGCTCGATTCTGCCCGGTTTCAAATCGAGGGAGTCGAAGGCATTGCTTACAGAGGACTCAATTTTTACCCTTCAATTTTCAATTCTCACATATAAATAATTTAATACTTATTTAATATTAGCTGAATTACTTGGACAATTTTTTTTTCATGTCATTTGGATTCATATTTTGGCATTTTAAAGACATTTCGCGACATCGAAAATCTACTAAAATTATACACGATGAAGTATCGATAACGATAATAATGAATGCATACATAAATTATATAATAATAACCGAAATTAATAACTTTCGCAAAAATTAACTGGAACGAAAACGAGTTTTTCGGTAAGACGTCTCCATAAGTCGCTGACCGTGAATAGATGACCCTTGAGTATTAGAAGGATATAATCGGTAATTACTAAGGAAGAGGGAGAGAAGGCAAGGGAGGGAGAGAAAGTAGATCGCAAGGGAGAGAAAGTAGGGCGCAAGGGAGAGAAAGTAGCTCGTAAGGGAGAAAGTAGGCCATAGGGAGCGAAAATAGGACTCGAGGGAGACACAAAATAGGACTCGAGGGAGACACGGACCCTGGTCGGAGTCGCTGCCGCTTCTCGGCCGGTGCCGGTTGAAGTCGTCCAGCTCTTTCATGGAGCAGAGCGGGGTGTCCACTTCGTAGGTGATGTCGAACTGGCTGTAATCCACCGCGTATGCGCCCAGTTCCTTGTTGAAGGACACCAGAGGCTCGAACCTGGGCGGGGGTGGATGGGATGCTGAGAAATTCATCGAAAATTTATTGGAAATTCATCGAGAATTTATTGGAAATTTATCGAGAATTTATTGGAAATTCATCGAGAATTTATTGGAAATTCGGGAGGGGGGAGTTAAAACCGAGGTCATGCGGTGAATGCCGGGCGCTTTAAAGAAAAATACGAGAAGTTCGAGATGAGTGCATGTGCATCGTTATGAAGCTCCAGGTAATTATTTTCTGTTTGTGTCGGGTTTGATTGGTGAGAGTGAAACATTATGGTTAGTGAGGGCAAGCAGGGATGTCAGAACCGGCTTTTCGATTCCACAGACAAGCTTTATTCTTAAAGCTTTCGAAGACGATTGGCTTTCTCTTTTGACTGTGGTTCGGTGATGAGAGAGAGAGAGAGAGAGAGAGAGAGAACATGCTAGTGCACACATAGCGATAAGTGATAAATAAATAAATGCCGGCAACCTTCCCTCACTGACTACTTCATCCACGCTCCACAACATTCTAGTGTGTTTGGGGGAAACCTCGCATGTGGCAACGGTTTTAGCCCGGGTTAACATGGTCAAGCACATACCGATATCAACGTGGAGCGACAAATGGCGCAGAATAAAACCGAATTTGAAGCTGTATCGGGACATCCAAGAAGGAAATGAAATGAGAAATGAATGGATTCGACCTTGTACGGATTTCCAGCGAATTAGTCCGCTCGCCCTGCCATGCGACCCTCCCCCCCCCCCCCCCCCCCCCCCCCCAAAGAGAAATGAATGGATTCGACCTTGTACGGATTTCCAGCGAATTAGTCCGCCCGCCCTGCCATGCGACCCCCCCCCCCCCCCCCCCTCCCCCTCCCCTGCCCCATACTTCATTTCGAACTACGAGAAACGATAAATGAATATGGTAAATACAGTAACAATCCCCCACTGACTACTTCATCGACCTTCACGGAACCAGGGGGTCAAAGGACTCCCCTCTCCAGCGCCCTCCTCACGATTCTCCCCGATTCTCCCGCATGAAGTCCGCGTCCTCGCCGGCCCCGGTCGACCGACGCCCCTTCGCCGCCGGGTCGCAGTCGAGACGGACCGGGAGGGCGACGGCGGCGAGGTTCGGTCCCGCTTCCCAGCTCCCGTCGAAATCCTCGAGGAAATCGTCCCGTCCGTAACGGAATTCCCGCTCCGCGTCGAGTCCGAGCTTCGAGCAGGATTCCAGGAATCGAGGGAAGTAGAAGCTGAGAAGTCCGTCCTGATGCTCCCGCCTCAGATCCCGATCCGTGCTCGTGAGCAGAAAATACACCAAATCCAGGCAAGCCTTCCCGTATTCCACCTGCTGGAAGTCCAAGCGCACCGCCTCGCCCTCCTCTCCCTCTTCTCCCTCCTCGCCCTCCCCCCTCACCAGCACGTTGTTGCACCAGAAGTCTCCGTGCCCGAGCGTCGCCACTGGCTCTCGCGGAAGACTCCCGAACGCGAATCGCTCCCGTGCCCCCACCCGGAACCTCCTCACTCGCTCCACCTTCTCCTCCTCCATCCCCGCCCGTTCGAGGAACACGGCCGGGTTCTCGATGGCGTCTCCGAGGATGTCTCGCTCCAACGCGGCCATCGTGGTCCTCGTCGGGACCGGGTACTCCTCGCCGTACGTGGTGCCGCGGGCCTGCAGCTCCCCCTTGTGAGCCAGGCCGAGGGCGTGGAAGTCGGCCAGGGCGGCGAAGGCGGCTCTGCACCGAGACCGGGCGAGGCCGAGGACCTTGTTCCCCGTCGAGAAGTCCAGAGAAACTCCTTTTCGTGTGCCTGGGACCGGAGCGCCCACGCTCGGAACACCGCGTGCTTCGGCAGCGTCTTCAACAGGAAACGGATCGAACTTCCGTCGCGGAAAACGGCGTGGACGCTCGACAGCTCACTGAGGAACCCGTCACCGGACTTCGTCCCCCTCTCGACCGCGACCGTCGTCACCGGACTCCGCGACCCCAGCGCCCTCCTCGCCCACCGACAGTCCACGTCCCCCGGCGTCTCCGGGACTCGGAGCGCCGGGCCGAACCGCCCGCTCCACGCGCCGGCTCCACGCGCCGGCCAGACCCGCAAGAGCGAACATGGTCGCCGGGGATGAATCGCGACTGTGAGACGATCGCGTTCCGTCGGGACCACTGCGCTTCGTACGAGCGGATAAGGGATGATCTTCGTCGAGTCCTCTATCACGTCTGACAGATTTACTTCGTGTGCGTGTGTTCGTGCGTGCGTGCGTGGAAGCATCCTTGGCACTAGGGCGCACAATCGCAGATGCGTTCCTCGCTCCCTGGCAGTGGCGTAACCTAAGGGAGGAGCGTGGAGGAGGACAGAGGAGGTGGAAGGGGGTGGAGGGGGGGGGGGGGAGGGGGGGGGAAGGTGGGACAGGGGTTATCCACTCCCCAGTCGGGAGTGCATGCCCTCTATGTCCTCACTTGCTTACAATTTTTTATATGCTCCTCGCGTGGGCAACGGAAGGAAAAGGTGAAAAAAATTTGGAGATCTAATCGAGAAAATTTCCCGCCTCGTTACATTTGCGTTTTGACATTGCGATGCGGAAGGCATCTGAAAGGTCTGAAGCCTGAAAGTCCTTTAAGTTCTTGAGGGCAAGAAAACGAGGCTTCGGAAAATTTATCAGTGGGAAGGAAAATATTTTTCAGCTCAAATCTCAATTTCCGGATTCGGCAGGATATCCGGAAAATATTAGCTCAGCACGATTTTGCGCAAGGCAAAATCGTGCAAAAAGTTGAGCGACCAGCAATCGCGAGTTTTGGCGGAGGCTGTGGAAAACCATTTTCGATAAGTCGATACGTACCAAAGTAAACACCAAACGTTTAAAATGAGCCGGTCGACGTCCTGCTTCGACAGATGAGAAGCAGATGAAATTATTCATGATAAGTTTTCGAACAATTATTATAAATGCGATTCCTCGGTGCCTGGGGGACGCCTAAATGAGGGTTCTGCATTCGGGCCCTTTTCAGGCGAATCTGGGGCTTCAAGAGGGAAAGGCAGAAAATCTGACAACACTAGAAAACAGACTTTTTCTTCTAATCGTTATCGATATTTTTTCTTGTTCATTCTGGCTTTTTTGTTTTTGTCCCCCCCCCCCCGACTTGCGCCTCGACAACAGGCAAAATGATATTGTTTGAAAATGTTCTCGATAAAACTATGACGTCGGGTGACGTCATACCTTTCACGCACATCTGCTTCTCGTATTTGTGGATGCGCAGATACCATCTCTGGCATCCCTGCCTGCATGCAGACGAGAAGTTTTCGAGAAAATTTTAGCTTTGTCCCTCGCGGAACCACATGGCAGGGCATTCTCATCACGCCTAGAGCGCAGAAACGACCAGAAACTCATTCCAGAGGCTTTAAAGAAGGAAAGTTGCATTAAACTGACTCGCAACTCGCGCCTTCCCCCTAGCAGACGACGCGGCTCGCGCCTTCCCCGTAGCAGACGACGCCGCTCGCGCCTTTCCCCTAGCAGACGATGCCGCTCGGGGGTCACTCGACCTTGGAGCTCAACAGCATGCCATACAGCGCGATTTATCATTACGTATCCACTCGTTCGTGCATCTCCACCGGCACATAATTAGGAACGAGCAAGCACCGAGGGACTGGAACCGACCTGTGACCCCAGAGGATCTCGCTTGGCAGATACGACGACCTGGCCTGGGTCGTCATCCCGGTCGACTCGATCACTCCCTCCAAGATCACCACGAGTTCGAATCTCTCTCTCATGAGTCCCGCGGCCGACATCTTGTAGAGGGGACTGTTCTCGTCGATCCCGTGGGCGATGATCGTCGGCCAGATGAAGAAGAGTCGGTCCTCGCCCGTGTCGTAACCGACGTTCAGTTCGTCCTGTCGGAAGGGAACCACCTCGCCCTCGCGGGTCACCTGGCGGCGGATGAGCTGGGCCCTCACGTGGGCGTGGATGATATGGGAGCGGCGCATGTCGCCGACGCGGACCATGAGGACGAGTCGGCCGTCGCGTTGGCAGATCACGGCGTGACGCGAGAACAGGAGCGTCTGGGTGCGTTTGTTCGGGCGGCTCAGCTTCGCGAACACGATCCCGACCATGAAGGCCTGGATCATGAGACCCACGATGCACTGGATGTACATGACGAAGACGGCTTCGGGGCACTCCTCCGTGGTATGCCTCGCCCCGTACCCGATCGTGTGCTGCGTCTCCACGCTGAAGAGAAAGCACGACGCGAAACTCTCGATCTGCGCCACGCACGGCCTCCACTCCCCATCCACCACCTCCAAGTCCCCGTGCGACGCCGCGATCAGGTACCAGATGCAAGCGAACAGAAGCCACGAGAGGAGAAACGAGCACGACGAGACCAGCAGCGTCCACCTCCACTGCGCATCCACGAGCGTCGTGAAGATATCCGCCAGGAAGCGGCTCCTCCGCTTGGACAGATTCTCCTGCACCACGTTGCAGTCCCCGTTTTTAAGGATGGCTCGCTTCCTCATTCGCTTCGACCGGGGTCGTCTCCCCTGCCTCCAGCTGAAACACGAAGGGATGCGAGTGGATTGCAGATGGCGACACGAGTGAAGCTGGTCGGGCCCTGCCGTTCGTCAGGCTGACGCCCGAGGATGTCAGGGTGCCAGATGGAATCCATCTCGGCTGGGTTTCCCTTTCGCTGGCAGGGTTGTCGGGGGCGACAGTGTTGTCGGATGCGAACAGTGTTGTTGGGTGGAACAGGGTTGTCGGGGATTCGGTTCAAAAAAATCTAGTCGCGTGCGTCTTTTTTTTTCCCATGAGATGTTTGCTTGTTACGGCTGTGTTAAGTAGAAGCCGTCGTGAAATGAAGGGTTGGAAGGTAAAGGTCGCTGGTTTTGGGCTTATATGACCTTGTTCCTTTCATAGAAAATAATAGTTTTTGGAATTAAACAAAGGTTGAAATGATCTATCGATACATACCACATTTTCTTAAATTTAACATGACGGTGATTGGAATATTCACTAATTTCGTGTGGAGCTCCAAAATAATAATTTTTTTTGCATATGGACCACTTTGCCTTTCAACCCTTCAAATTTATTCATGGGGCTCCCTTGCAACGGTGAAGAGTTGACAGCTGACCCCAAGCAGCATGTTTACGTAAACAAGATATCAATTTTTTGCAAACAATGTAAATTTATTGAGATTGCCATGAAACTGACATCACGTATGCGTAAAATTTACGTTCCTATATTTACGTCACCAAAGTGTATGTGCATTTTACGTAAACTAGACGTCACTCCAGTTTATGCAAAGTTAACATTCGCACTTTCCATATGAAACTTTAGCAGACCAATCTGCAGTTGCAATACCAAGATTCCTCACTAGATGGAACCCTTGTTCCCTGCACCCTACAAATGCTATTAAGTACTGGCTTTCCCGATATAGTATCAGGTTTCTTTACATCCTTCCACTTTTTTAATGCAATCTATGAATATATATATGGAAATCAGGAAATTATTACATATTTTTCAAATAATATATAACTCAGGGAATCATTAAATTGTGAAGCTAAGCTCGTTATTACAGCAGTGCACGGGATTAGGGAAGAGTAGAATCCCGCAAATACTGTACCTTTTCTATCCTTAATAGAAGCGAACTCCTTTAAACATTTATTCCTCCTCCCGGGGTCCTGGTGGGTAATGAGTCATCTTGGTACTCTTTAAGTGCTGGTGAGAATGAGTACTTGTGTACTCGTGAACTCATCCAAGTAACCATGACTTCCAAAGTATGGAAAGGGATGGGAGAAATACAGTGTAACAATTCCCTTCAAAAGTACGAATTAGCTCGTTAAATACGCATGAATGTTAGGGGGAGATTAACATCAATTTTACGTAAAATGAATATAAACATGCTACTTGGGACGTATCCATCGTCCGTGCACACCTCTATTCCGAATCCTGGACTCGGACGCGTCGCGTTTTACTTTGCGGTCCGTCGATCATTCGATGCATCGCTCCATTACAGTATTTTGTTTCTGCAACCTCTCTGAATATCTCAACTCGTCAATGAATTTCCTTCTGGCTTCGTTCGGTGATCTTCGGTCGGGAATTAGCACCGAAACCGGGCAGAATTCAGCTCAATTTCCCGCCGAAGGAGAAATTATTCCCGCTGAAAACCTTCTGCCCTCCGAATCGCAACCGGTTTCAACGGTTACAACGACCACGAAAGGAGAGAAAAAGAAATTCATTCTCTCATTCCAAACGTCTAACGACCGAGCGGATTTCCTCGGGATTTCGATAATGAACAAATGTAAGAAAAATCCTAAAATTCGATCCGCAACCGATAGAAGTTATTGAAAATTTTGACGTCGTGCGATATTTATGCGGAAATTTGATATTCGCCATTTCTGGGAGAGCATCAATGAACATCCTCGTTGCAATAACTACGTAACTTGCCACACGGATTCGGCACCAAAAAAAAAAAGCGAAACCATCCCGAAACCGAACGTAGAATCCATCGATAACGGAAAACGAGGCAGCTAGAGAAGCGAATACCCATCCATGCGGCCGGAAGCAGCCGCTCCCTTTCCTGCAAAAACTCCTGCGCATGCGCAAAGCCTTCCCCGCGCATGCGCAATGCCTTCCCTGCGCAAGCACCAGTCGCGCAGACCGCGGAGGACGGAAGGAAGTCTGGAATCCGACTCGGTTCTGGAGACGCAGCGCACAACTTCCAAGCCATTAAAACCCGCCGGGAAACGAGTGCCTCCCCCCCTCCCCACCAGGGGCAAAAAAGGCGCGAAACTCACTCGCTTTGGCTCCCCTTCCACGCGGATGGCGCGGCCTCGTCCTCGGGCGTCCCCGGGATCCCGCCGTCCTGGATCGACTCCGCCTTCCACGTCCCGTCCATATCCATGCCTACGACATCGCTTTTTTTTTTAAATGGAAGCTTGAACGGATAAATGTGAATTTTCTCATCTTTCCCCTTTAACAAGTTGATCAATCAAAACTTCAGCCGACATGATGAAGGCCATTTCGTAAAGGTTCATATGTTTTAACCGTGCTGATTCCGATGAAGCCCGAAACCCAAAGCGACACCGAGCGATAATTTTGTTCTCTTTGATTAAACTGACCCTCAGGATATTCAAATTCATCACGATTCCAAAATATTCGATCGACATGCGCCGGTCAGCGATAACGTCGGTATCGTCGAGCGACAACGCAATGACTTTAATTAAAAGAAAAAGTTCCTCTTGGTTGAACCGCAGAGCTTAACAACAAAAAAATGAAGAATCCTTGACTTGACCGGTCTTTCTGGTGAGGTCTATGCGAATGAAAAGTTCTCTGATGGCATGGTAACGCTGCCGTGGGGTTTTTTTTTTTCGTCTTAGCCACATCGGTTGGAATCATAAGACGTTTCCGAACGGGGGGGAACCCTGTGATCTCTGCGTTCATTTCCCCACGCTGTCGTTGCCACTCGAGACTCGAGTTTGACTTTTTATATATCCAGGGATGATAGGCCTAGGGAGCGCGAATGACAAATGACTCTCTAGTGTCACTATCGCGGGAAGCGAAGGATGAATTTGGAAACCCCAGGATTGAGATATTACCAACCGGACGCTTTTTTGAGAGTTCTCAGTCCGCACAATAAAATCCACGGAAGATTATTCCCCCGAAAAACGCCACGTCTCGCCCGAAAGGGAGCAAGGCACAAAGGCGTTCGTTCGATTCCAAGGCAATATCGTTCACTTCCTCGCACCGTAACCGGGCTCGAAACCGCTTCACAACGAAATATTCACGACACACTCTTATCCCCGAGCGCGGCCGCGTAACTCGGGATCGAGTACACTCCGAGGAGACGAATCGAATACGCTCCGAGGAGACGAATCGAATACGTTCCGAGGAGACGAATCGAATACGTTCCGAGGAGACGAATCGAAGACACTCCGAGGAGACGAATCGAAGACACTCCGAATCAGTGCTGTACGAGCCCACAAAAAATCAACTGCGGGGAACGGTGGAGAGACCCTCCACTTTGTTTATGCGAGCGAGGGCAGCTGGATCCTTTTCCCCCTGGACGTGAGGCATGCTGCGTTGTGGGATTCAGGGTCAACGCACACTGCCTTATCCAAGCAAATCGTCCTCACATCTCGGGTTCCACTTCGAGAAGCGTTTGCTCCAGTTTCCGTCAGTTTTGAGACCTCATCATTCTTTGAATACTTCTAGATATATTTACCCAACCGACTATTGTTATTTGAAAACGAATTCGTACCACCTTCAATAGAAGGCAAGGTTATTTCGAGGTGAAGGTGCGTATAGAAATGACCTTTGGTCCATGGTGGTATGAATTCGTTAGCAAATAACGACTTGAGGCAGTGACTGTGTTGGCTTATTCCATCCTCGTATCTTCCGGGGCAGCATCTCCTGTATTCACGCTTATGATTGCGGCCGATCCAGTTATAGCTTCGCCTTTTAGTGAAGAACCCGTCGTATTCTTAGCGGTTAGGCGATTCGCCGTTGTTGAAAATGTATCAAAAGTAGCAGCAGGGTTTGCCCTAACACTGCCTTTTACAAGGGAAAATAAGTTTGGAATATAGCGCCTAAGGTCGAGCCTAAGGAATGAATTCTTTTGGTTTGCCATGCGAATCCCGCGTAACTTTTTTAATGCGAATTTTCTGCTAAAACGGCACGACGAGAGACGACTCCATTGCTTTTGTCCGCTTCAGTTTTTCGACCATAAATGCAAAAAAAGGCAACCATAAAAATTTATGTGAAAACCGTCACGCACAGGCAATTTCGTTCTTTGAAAAAATTTGCACATTCCAAACCAGCGGGAAAGTCATCTGCAGCCACCGCGAGAGGAACCAGACTCCTTCCTAACCTTCTAGCCTTCTTTCTACCCTGCCAGACTCCTTGATCTAACCTTTGTAGCTCTCGCACTTTGAACAGGAGAGTGGGACTGTAGTGGGTACAGGGTTGTTGGCTGTGTTTGTGAGCATGTGTAGCAGTGCTTTTCTTCTCTCCCACCTGCTGAACATTCAGTAATTATGAATTAATAGTACTATTGGAGGGTATGAAAATTTGGATGAGATTCAACAAGCATAAAGAAACTTGACCACAGAATGAAGCCATATTTGGTAACAAGGCTCGATACCAAACGGGACTAGCTCGTTTCGTGCACAGCACGTCATTGACGAGGCTTTGTGCAGTGCACAGGGACTGCCTCGGGGAGGCTGAAAGACACGAAAGTCTTCTTGGGGTTCCGCCTCGTGAATTCAGGATCTGATCGCTCTCAAGATTCTGAGATTCCGTTCAGAAGCATATATATTCCTATATTTCAATGACCACCACAGATTCCACAAATGATCACACTTAATCTAAGTTGGTGACGGTGTTGATCCTAAGCATCAGGCTTGCGATCAGCGACCGAAGATTCACCGACACCAGAGATCGCCGCATTTTCATTTCTCATAATCAGGCCAACAGTGATTTCAACATCGTAAAACATCCTCATACCGACAGTAATTAGATGTGCATTCTTACCATTTCCCTTTATAATCCATTCGGCAAAACCACAATGACCTTGGGATGTTTCAGCTCTCAAGGAAGACAATATAAAAATAGGTGTTTCTTAAGTTTCTTAAGTCTTCAATTTCTCTTTAGAAATTCATTCCAGGCAAAATTTTGAGCATTTTCTTCAATCAATATGGGGAATTTCAGTTGAAGTTTTAGATTGTAGATTTCTGCTTTTGTCTCAAGCAGGAGTTTTTCACACAGAATGCCCTGGAACAATGCATAGGAAAAACACAGCAGTTCAGGAAAATTATCTGGGAAATGGAAATAAGTAACCACAAGAGCAAAAACGAAAAAAGAGAAGAAAATGAAATAGTTTGGATGAGCCGAATCGTTTTGCCGATTACCTGATTGATTTACAGATGTAAATCTAATTCAGACTCTTGAACCATTGAAAAAGACATTTGATACACAATAGAAAAAAACCTGGTCCACATCTTCCATTTCTCCACTTTGAAAAGCATCAAATTGTAGAAGAATCTACAATGCAACTCAAATAAGAAGATAATCAGGTAAGAGAGAAAAAAAGAACAGCACCCGAAGCTCAAAATGTTACTTGCAATGAAAAACATCAAATCCAAAACTCCCTAAAGCACCTACAGCAAAAAGAATGCCTTAAGTGCATAAGTAACCTCTGGTAACTCTTCGAGACAGGCAACCGACAAAAAGTTCCACGAGGCCTAGAGAAAGCTTAGCTGAGTAGAAATACAAGTTTGTCTAAGGGAGGGAAAGATGCACCTCTTCCTACTCTGTCTAGTATAAGGCTATCACAGAGGAGTAAAAATTGCTCACATTGCCAACACCATTGATTTCTATAATAGTTCAGGGGGAAGCATTATACTAAATTTTCTTCCATCTCAAAGCTTACATAAGATCAACATTGGTATCACTGACTAGAAGGAAATATAGGAAATACAAATCCCCGGCACGGCAACACGACGGACTCGTTCGAGGACCGGTTCAGACGGTTCTGTGAAGGATTCAAAGCAACGAGGAGAATCCCTGAGACCAACATCACTACAGGCTATCGAGTTTAGCTTCCTCGTTTCACAACAGACGATTGCTCCACCGGATATGTGATTCTGGACCAAAAACATGGAAGGGCAAGAAAGCAGACTCCCCATCGTGTACCACCACGTGAGATGCTCCCTTCGATGAGGAGAAATCCTTTGTGGCTTCTATTGGTGCAAATTCACTCTGTGGTCATAAGTCTGGGAATCTGCCAACAGAAATTGACACAATAGCAGTAATGTTCACAAGAAATCACCATAAGCAATTCCAGAGCTTCAATTTCACTTCATTCTATGTTTTGACTTAGTCTTGATTCCGGTTTAAATTGCTCAATGATCATATGCTCGAGGTACTTACTGGTAATGTGGTCGTTGACAGATCGGTGTCTAACCTTACTCTGAGTAATGTGGAAGTCGTAAAGACTCGTTTTCTACAGACTTCAGGGTACAGGATATCTCCCGATGGCAGGAGGCATTTTCCAGCATTGGCAATGGGCCTCTGCAACGATGTCTGATGTTACATTTCACTTAGCAAACTAACTGTTGTCATTTCAGCTAAGTTTCCCCATGTATATACAGAAAAATTACAAATGATTTTGACATGTTAACTTCTGGCCACAAGTCTTTCTAGATTCCTGGTCAACAAATATAGACAATTTCAGTTGAAAACTTTTCAAGGATTGGATAAATAACAGGCATACTTTTGATTTCATTCATTGGTTTAGTTCTAGCTTCCGTTACCATTCTCATAAACCAACCGATTCCAGATGAAACCCAAAGAACCGGAGCTCTGTGATCGTTCGATGCGGTAGGAACGACAGACCTGTTGGAATCTTCGGAGTAGTCTGAGGGGATGACAAAGAGGGAATCGGGGATGTCCTTTCGGAACTGGAACTCTCGGAATGTCACTTGAGCGGCGATCGTCGGAAGAACCGGGATGTCTGTTGTGTTCGGAACAAATGTCGTAACGGACTTACATTCCATGCCGTAAAGCAGCCAAGCAGAATGAAAATATCTTAAATCTAGCGAAGAGGTCTCTCCTCATGCATAGAGAGCTCATAAAAAATGTACCACCCTAAATTCAGTGAAACAGAAAGCAGCAACTATGGGCTATAAGTATACATTTATAAGCCATTGAAAAGGCAAAAGAATTCTTGGCACGTGTGTCGTATTAAAGCCATGCCAGACCCATCGATCACTGGGAACAGTCGAGTCAAACAGCAGTGTGCTCCTTTTTTGGTTGGATGGTGAAAAATTCCAGCAACTTTTCTAGATGACTGACATGGGAGGGAATTTTTCCAAGATCCAGACAAAATTTTGAGGGTGACTCCATACCTTAATTCTCTTCCCACCAGTCTGTTAAATCCAGCTGTAACACTTGCAAGCTCCTTTCTATTTCATTAATTCACAGAATGAATTTCTTTCATGAACACCAAGTATACAAGGCCTTGCATACATTCAGTGGGTGCAGTCAAGAAGAGAGCAAAGTTCAGACTGAGTTCCTGAAGTAATGTATGAACAAGAACTTATCATACTGGCAATTAAATGACTTCAACTGATAACTTAGTATCAAGATTTAAAAAAGTGCATTTTTTTGCAATGATGGGGTCCATAAGCCAGACAAAATGATACTGTCTTTCGAAAGAAGCCACAAAAAAACGCTCACCAAGCTTAACCGGGAAGCCAGGCGGAAGCTTCATCTCCACAAACTCCCGGAGCTTTTCGTAGTGCTTCAGGGGCGCAACGACTTCCAGGACGTTCAGAAGAGTCTCCGTGGTCAGCGGGAACTCCTCACTCTTTAAAAGGAGCGGAGAGACGACTCGACACCGAGCAACTTCTGGCGCGAGAGCGGGAAAGTCGCCCGAGAGACTCACCATGGCGACGGTCGCCTTGAAGCTCTTGGACGAGTCCTTGCAGACCATGGGTCGACCCAGATGCGGCTGGGCGCCGGTCGGCGCGTTCACGTACGACGACCACGTGACGGACGGTTGGGACGGCGGGGTCAATGACCGCCTCCGGGACGGCTGCACACAAGGCATCAAAACTCAAAATTTCAGAGAGAGAAACAAACCAGTCGAGCCCATGCCGACCTTCACCTCGTGGTTGAGCACTTGGTGATTCGCGTGCGACACGCTCCCCCTCGTGAACGTCTCCACCAGGGCCTTGTTCTTCTGGAGATCCGCCTCCGACAGGTGCTCCCGCCGCTTCCGCGACTCCAGCACCACCCCGTGGACGTTGTAGAAGTTCGCCATGTACCGCCCCACCGTCTCCTGCTTGTCCTCCCGGAAGATCCAACCGCTCTGCGTGTTGGTGAACCGGATCCCCTTGGTCGAGATCTGCGCCAGCACGATGTCGCTGCTCATCATCAGGTCCACCTCTTCGTCCAGCTCCTCCTCCGTTTCCTGTTTCAGGGAAACCAATCATCTTATTCCCGCGGTACGAGAGAGAAAACCGGAATGCCGAAACCACCCTCAACTGTCCTTTCAGAAAACACGGACTCCAATGCGGGAAGAAGAGCTCTTTCACTTGAAGCCCCCCGTATTCCCTAAATGAAGCTTGTGCATTCGGGCCCTAACAATCCTTCGACGCGCGGTACTCGCGAAAGCACACCGCAAAAATTTTCCCTATTGCGCACCATAATGCTCTGTTCATCGGATTCGCACTATTTTTTTCATCAGTGGGCACGATGGTCGAGTGAATTATCAATAAATGCGAGGCTACCGTGATGGCTCCTCCTATGTTTATTGCATGTCGCGAAGGAACCTTTCTTCACTCAGAAGCGCATCAGAATAGCAAAGAAATCATCAGAGATCCCCGACGCAACGCATTCGCATTTACCTCACGCCCTCGAGACTCCCGCAAGGAACCTGAACCCTACCCTCGCCATCAATTTCCGCCAAAACGTTTCTCAGACCGTTTTTTTCCGTCTTCGAAAATCGGATCGGACCCCCCCACCCAGAAAACCCTCACCTCATGACGGATCTTCTGGAAGACCTTGAGCTCATTGTCGAGCACGGTGAGCGAGGTCTCCGGCGGCGCCTCCCCATCGTACAGAAAGCTCACATTCCCCCTCTCCCAACGCATGTCCGTGAAGTCCACCAGCGTGATGTCGATCCGAATGGACGATCCCCGCTTGTGGATCTTGCACACGTCCGACGGCAGGAGCCGCGACACGAACGGAACTGCAACGACAAACGTCTCAGACTCCCCCCGAACAACCCCAACCACAACACAACCACAACCACAACCCCCCCACTCACTCCAGGAGTGGAAGTCCCACTTGAGTTCGAGGTAGAAGTCGTCGATGGACTTGAGGGCCTTCACGAGGTCGGGTTTTCTCTGTGAGACCTGCTCACGAGCCTGTTCCTTCAGTTTCTTCAGAACTTCCACGACTGCAAAGACAACCGATGAGAGACTTTTATGACAGATTCCACGATCTTCATTACGTCATCGGGTTACAATAAAAAAAAAGACTCATTGGCGTGGTGGAAGCGAGCATTCATTTTCAGAGCTTTTATTTACTGCATAAGCAGCACGCATCAAATTTTGCAAATGAGAAAAATCATTATTTGAAAATATCAGCAGCTACTTGACTAGTCCAATTAAGTGGCCTAAAAAAAAAAAGTCCCACTTAATCTGGCTGCAAATCACACCAAGGTTTCAGCAGGAAACGAACGTGGCATCACATCCAACACGAAGCTGATCCCTCAAAAATGTCGACGAGAATGATCCTCTCAAACCGAGGCAAGAGTTTCTTTCCACGTACAAAAAATGGGCAAGTGTTGGCAACCGAAAGGCTGTTTCCTCCACGCATGACCGTGCTCGCCCCAGTCCAGACACGCCTGCTCACTCGACACAATGCAGAAAATAGATGTCACACCTGTTCTACCAGAGCCAGCTCTTTTAAATCTTCATGAAACCACCTTTATGCTTGTGATGCCCCCTAAACTTCCTTTTTTTTTTTTAACAAGCACTGTAATTTTCATGTCAGAAAGGACACATTATGGGAATAATTATATTGAATCAAATTTGACGCTGTTCGAATCCAGGGCTAAACCTATGATAACTCAGAAACCTTTCATCAGGAACAGACAACAAAGGCCCCATCATCCAGCAAACCATGGGGTGATGAAAAGTAGGCCCATGACAGAATTGTGCTGTTTACCAGCAGAGTGAAATTTAACAAATCAGTGGGGCATTCACAAGCCTTTTCTCCTAAAGCAAAAATATTCCTGTCTCATAACAGGCAGCCAGTAATGACAGTGGGGTTTGATCAATTAACACTACAACTTATACTCCTCTTCTGCTACATAAGGAGGGATGTGCATAAAACTCATCATTTAACCTGTTTCCTTGTACTTGTTCTCAAAACTCCAGGGATTTTTGGCTCTTTCTAATTACCCAAAGAGGGATTAGATGCACATCCATGTCCAACTCAGTAGAAGGTCAAACAGACATCCGGAAAATCTGGAGCGACTCGTCATCGTCGTGCCAATTTCTCACCGACCATCCCCACGGGGCTTGAGAGCGTCATGCAACCTCGAAGGCGACGACAGAAGCAGCACTTACTCGTATTCCTGTCTCCGTAGCTGACTGCTTCTGACAGAGGTCCCCAGCCTTGGTGATTCTTCACTTTCACAGATGCATTGTGTTTCAGCAGGACTTCAATGCAGTCTGCAAAAAGGCAAGCGATTCCATGCAGAGGGTCGTCGGAGCAACTCAAACTAGTCGGGTGATGGCAATTCTATCTCAATTATGCTATATTGGAGTTTAAACTTAATAGAGCCTTTGCAAAGGTACAAAGTGCAATGTATGCACTAGAGGCTAGTTTTATGCTTCATTCCTACATAGGGCTATAGTGCTAAGTCAAACCTTATTCAACTTCTGCACTATATCATCATGATATGGAATCAGTAGAGCACAAAAACTTTTCCTCCATACTAAGTTGTTTATCTTATGACAACTACTAATACATGGACATCAGTAGCCTCAGCTATGACATCTAAAAATTTTACTTTCCACAAGAGCAAGACTGCAGAAGATAATATAGTCTACATAAAGGGGAAAACCCCCTTTCAGGAAGCACTTCACAGCAAAGGGAAGGCTAATCCTTTTAACCCCTTAAATGGACTCGCCGCATATGTGCGGTCTGGCACCTGCCTCCTCTCAATGGAATCACCGCACATATGCGTTCAAAAGTTCCCAGTTAAGGGGTTAATGGCCTCAATCATCAACTAGGTTAAGGGGAAGATCTGTGGGAACTGAAGCATGACATGTTCAGAAATAGGTCAAATTTTCAGGGTTGTTGGGTTGTCTTTTCACCTCTCATGTACTTCAGGCCAATAATTTTTCTTGAAAAAAAAGAAGTAATTCATTTCCCAATATCCAAATAACTGAACTGTTGGTGTTTCATCTTCACATCTTTCCCCTAGGGTATCCACAAATTGCCCTTCAGCTTCGTTATGTCAAATAACTCTTCCCCTCTCACTAATTCATCTGAAAGCTAAGCCATAGGTCTACTGCCTCCATTAATCAACTTATTGTTTGGGGAAGCTGGAGTTTTCCCTGATACAAGGACAAGAGCAAAATGATTATCTTGCAGCATTCACTGATCACTTAATGTTGAAATCTACAGACCAACAGACTATCAAAAGGCCAAAACGGCTTGCCTTAGCTTGCCTAGCCAATGCTTAAGCCTCATCAACGCTCATGCTTACCTTTCCTGCCGAGCATAATAGCCAGGTGCAGGGGGGTGTTACCTGAAACAGAAACACCAGAAAACTCAGTTCAAACTGAAATATAGTTGCAAAGGTTTCATCAGCTTATTTTAGATTGACAAAATACAGAACAAATATCTGGTGAATGACATGCATTTTCTGGGGGCACAGAGAATTTTGCATATTTAATATGGAAAGTAAGGTAGAAACGATAAGTACTTTGTATCTGAACATTTGACTTAATACGTTCAAATGTAGAGTACCGACCTAATCACCACTCATTACGTTGTGGTCCAGTGAGGTATTTACGGTTTATTAAGTGCGAAAGACAAAACAGAGAGTAAAAGTACTGATTTACTAAAGTGGCTTGTACTTCCAAATTGACTGCCTATTTGCCTCTCCTTTCCTAGTCTTGCTGGGAGTTGCAACCTGATATACTGGGCCACCTCTGGCCTAGCATGACAACTGAAGAACCATCAACTTGTTACTCTTCTAACATTTCCACTGCTGACCACATCAACTTAATGTTTGGCCTTCACATGCTCATGCAAGCATGTGCTACTCAAGATTTTCTCACTCACAATGGGCCTAGTACCACGTAGCAGCTAGCATGTGCTAAACCTAGCCAGAGCCTGTTTTTGTTTTTGGGCCAGTCTAATGGTAGATCCAAACAACAAACGCTATCTTATCAAGCCATAATAAATCTGTATTTCTTAGCTAGGCAGAACCTGTCGGGGTCAATAAGAAACAAATAACGATACCAGGACCAAGCGGATGATAGGCAAACATAAGGGAGGGATTATGTTATCAGTACCGACTCGATCTATGGACTCAAAACGCCAAACAGATGTACTCTGGAATATAACATGAGAGATGTGCGAGATGATGGAGGAGAGGGATGTGCAAATACATGTAAATGTATGAATAAGAAAGAAAATAGCTTTTAATATTAAAATGTTTCAGGTACACAAAAAAAGAACACAAAAATCTATAAAATGAGGAAAGAATTTGGCTTAGAACTTACCGTGCTTGTCCTTGCTAGATACATCATGTTCATTTAGCAGGGCTTCGAGTTTCTCAACGTCACCTCCAAAGACAGCTTCATGGACAGGAAAATCCTGTGGCACCTGACCGGAACCAACATCCTTCACGGAGGCGGCCATCTTTAATGCAGTGTTGCCAGATGTGTTTTCATCTTACTTAGCTAGACTTGCAAAAAAAACTTACAAAGATGAATATCAGTACTCAATTTCACGAATTTTCGAGATATCAAAAATTGTACACCATGCCGTCACATTTCGAAGGAATGTATCGCAGCAACGCGATTTGAAAGAATTGGAAATAATGAACAAAATGTGGCCATCGTACTTCATTTGGTTCATTGTCTCCAGTGGCGGCTCGTGGGTAAAAAAATTGGGTAGGCAGCAGTGGTGCAAAAAAAAGTGGGGGGGGACGGTCACCCCCAATGATTCCTTTGCACCTATATGATCCCCATTTCTATCCCTATTGACCAATGGAGCGTCTTCCTATGATAGTAGCAGGCACATTCGCTCCTCTCTCAACCTCCCTCAGCATCCCCCCCCCCACCCACCACTCTCCAGTTTCTTCTGAGGGTCACCCCCCCAGGATGCGAGGCACTGTCAGTCTAACAGCACATATCACTTGGTAACAGTGCCTCTTCCAGAGAAAGCAACGAATGCGGGGTAGGAATAGGGAACTGAGACTGACAGAATCCTGTTCGGAATAATTCCTCAATTCAGTCTGCATAAAACTGTAGAATAAGTCTGATCAGGTGTGACAACCACAGAGGCTTCTACAAGCACGTGCTTCTGAGCAGCAGGTGTAAGCAAGCGATTCTCAACCTTCCTTCCTGCGCAAGGAGTAACTTGTTTTGCTTTTACCTTGCAATGGAAAAAAAGTATTTCCAGCTGTGCTAATCGAATAATTAAGTAGCAAATATTAATTTGAGAATCTGATTTTAAACTGGGTAGGCACGGCCTACCCTGACGAGCCGCCACTGATTGTCTCATACCTTGATTTTTTTCCCTGCGGAAAAGCACCACTAATGATAGTCGCTAATTGCTCAATGATCCAATCAATTGAAGTCCTTAGCGAATTTCCACAGTAATGTTGAGTGGCTGGTAATTATTGGCCGGCAGTCAGTCTGAAGTCAGTCCTTGTCTCGAATTTACGTTAACCGGAACTGGAAGAAGAAGGGGGTGTGAAAAGGCAGCAAAAGATCCTGTTCGTACTTGAAACTTCCACTCACATCTGCGATGCGATTGGCCTTTCAGAGTTGGATCGTAATTACTCGCACCTCTCTGTGCCATCCATATCGCTGCGGTGGGTTGGCCTACAGACGGCGGGGGGGCTTAAACCCATCGCTACGCCATTGCCTACAAACCAGAAGCTTGTAAATGTAGCGTCTTTATTTCCTTCTTTGTGTGCGAGGAAGCCGTTCCCTCTCGTCATCCGTTCGTTGAACCTTAGTGGCAGTTTTCCATTTTTAGTTTTTTTTTTTTTAGCATACTTCTCGAAGCTAACATGCCGAATCCAATTGACCATCTGGTAAAGCCCCCTTATTAAAGGATGGCGGGTCTCAACCAGAAGTCCTGATTTCTGACGTTTTAACTGCTCTCTGCTCCCTAACTTTCATCCGCCGTTTTGCCATCACACTGCACATTTTCACTTTA